GCTGCCCCTGCACCAGCTTCTCGGCCACGCTTACATCTGTCCAATCTTTCTATTCCTTGCCTCACCAGCATGTGGCACTGGTAGTGACCCAGAGATTACTACCCTTGAGGTCTTGCTTTTCAACCTCTTTCCTAACTCCCTGCAATCAGTCCGTAGGACCTCATCCCTCTTTCTACCAATGTCATTGGCACCACTGTGCACAATGACCTCTGGCAGCTCACCCTCCCTCTTAAGAATTTCCACTCAGAGACTTCCTTGACCCCGGCACAAGAGAGGCAACACAACATCCTGGAGTCTCGAAACACCTGTCAGTGCCCCTAACTAGCGACTCACCTACCACTGTCACTTGTTTGGATCTTGCCCGATCCTGCTCTAAAGCAGAGCCAGTTGTGGTGTCACAGGTCTGGCTGCTGCTGTTATACTCCCCTAAGAGGCTATTCCCCACAACCATATCCAAAATGGTATACCTGTTAGAGAGGGGAATAGCCACAGGAGACTTCTGCACTACCTGCCTGCCTCTCCTCATGGTCTCCCATCTACCTGTCTGAACCTGTGGTGTGACCACCTCCCTGTAACTAGTGTCTACCACACTCTGTGCCCCCTGTGTGCTCCTCAGTATATCCAACAGTTGCTCTAACCGAATGATGCGGTCTGTGAGAAGCTGCAGCCAGTCACACCTCCTGCAGATATTGTTGTCAGAGATATCTGGCAGGAGAAGCACACCATTGTCCTAACAGCCATCTCTGCCCCTTTACGCTAAGTAAAATCAAAGAATCATACCTTGCCTTTATCTTGCTCGCCTTACTCACTGAAGCCCAATATTCACCTAAGCATGCAATTTTACCAACTAGCAACGCAGTCTGGTTACTTAAATTACAAACACAATCTTTATAAACAGACCAAATACCCTCAAGACTACAACAAACTTAGCCTCTCTCAATCGTTCTCTTCATTTTCTTTGGTTAGAGGAGGAAGGAAGGATGGAAACACTGCAGTAATGTAATTTTTGGGGCTTACTATTCCCTCACAGTGCTGATCACTTGTGGTGACTGAGCGAACCTCTCCCAGAATGCTCCTCAGCAAAATCTCTCTCCCAGCCTCTGTTAGATGCTCTTCCTCTTGCTTATCACTGGGGTGGGGGTGTTCTTCCTCTCTCCGCTGATCAGTTTGGGTGACTGAGCTGACTTCTCCCAGAATGCTTTTCTAAAATTTCAAAAATATACTTTATTCATAAAAAATCTTTGGATAAATACATTGACACAAAGCAGCTCAGTTCCACACAGTTGCACATCAAGCAAGCAAACAAGGCATTGAACTTTGAACTTTGACTCTATCCCAAAAACAACCAAAGACCTCTTTTACTCAATACTAGTATTTACATATATTTGAGGCACTAAGAAGGTCCAAGAACTAAACAGACCCCCCTTACCTTCAACAGAAAGACATCAGATAGTGGTCTTTCCCCAGTGTGCCTTGGTGGCAACTGCCCCAACGTTTAGTGTGTCCCTCACACATAGTCTTGGATCTTGGAATGTGCCCAGTCTGCAGACACTTTGTTAGGGTCAGCTCTTTGTTCTGGAAAACCAACAAGGTTTGGGCAAACCAAAGAGTGTTTTTCACAGGGGTGGTGGTTCTCCAGGTGCAGTTAATGTTTGTCTCAGTGTGCATCCCAGGGAACAGACCATAGAGCACAGAGTCCCATGTCACTGAACTGCTCGGGATGAAGCTCGACACAAACCGCTGCATCTTCCTCCAGACTACCTTTGCAAAGGCACAATCCAGAAGGAGATGTGTGACAGTCTCAACTCCCCTGCAGCTACTTTGAGGGCAGTGGGTGGTGGCGCAGGCTGACTAGGCGAGCATGCGTAGATAGGTTCTTGATTATCAAGGGTTATGGGGAGAAAACGGGAGAATGGTGTTGAGGAACTTATCAGCCATGAGTGAATGGCAGAGCAGACTCGATGGGCTGAATGGCCTAATTTCTGCTCCTATGTCTTATGGTCTTATGAACGATCTTACAGGTAGAGCCCTTCTCACCACCAGCCAAGTGATGTCCTGGTGCTTGTTGGAAAGTTCTGGTGATAAGGCATTCTGCCAGATGACTTTGACAGTCTGCTTGGGGAACAACACAACAGGATCCACCCTCTCCTTTTCTGTCAGGGTCTCAAGGACGCTATGTGCTGACCACTTCCTGATGGACCTTTGGTCAAAGGTGGTTTTCTTTGCAAATTTCTCTACGAACGACGGGTGACATGGAACGGTCCAACTACTTGGAGCGTTCTGCGGCAGCAAGGCCAGTCCCATCCTTCACAACACCGGGAACATGTAGAACCTCAGTATGTAGTGATGCTTGGTGTTTGCGTACCGAAGATCTACGCACAGTTTGATGCAGCCACATACAAAGGTGGCCATCAGGGTGAAGGCAATATTGGGTATGATCCCCACTCCCCCCTTATCCAGAGTTTTGTACATGGAGTCCCTGCAGACCTGGTCTAATTGGGCTTCCAGGTGAAATGGAAGATGGCTCGGGTGACTGAAACAGCGAAGTTTTGGGGGATGGGCCAAACCAGTGCCCCATACAACAACAGAGAGAGTGCCTCACACCTGATGACCACGCTTTCACCCACAATAAGTCGTTCTGCCATCCTCTATTGGATGCTCTTCGTCCTGCTTCTCACTGGGGTGGGATGTTTCTTCCTCACTCTGCTGATCAGTTGTGGTGAGTGAGCCAACTTCTTCCAGAGTACTCCTCAGCGAAGTCTCTCTGCCGCCCTCTTTGCATGCTCTTCCTCCACACATCACCCACTGTGCTAACACACTTGACCCAACCACAGACACACAAATCAAGATAATTGGCAGTAGAATTATACTGGAATTGAGAAGTAATTTTGTCATCCAGAAAGTAGAGGAAATCTGGATCTCAATGTTTAAGAGGGTGCTCTAGGCAGAAAACCCCTGTGCATTTAAAAAACATTTGGGTATGCATTTGAGGTCTTGTAACCAAGTGTACTCTGAGCCAAGAACTTTTGAGTGGGTCAGACTGGCAGCTAACACAGCATGTGCTGAATAGTCTGCTCATGTGCCATTAAGTTTGAGCTTCTGACAGAATATTCAGTAAAATCCCTAGCTGACAATTCACTGCATCTGTACTGACAATAGATGGACATTGACTGCATCCATACAGAGAACAGATGCACAGATAATATTTACAGCCATGTTTCCTCAGAGCAATGAAACACAATCAGGGCGGCACAGTGGCTCAGTAGTTAGCACTGCTGCCTCACACTGTCAGGGACCCGGGTTCAATTCCACCCTTGGGCGACTGTCAGTATGGAGTTTGCACGTTCTCTCCGTGTCTGCATGGGTTTCCTCCGGGTGCTCCGGTTTCCTCCCACAGTCCAAAGATGTGCAGGCTAGGTGGATTGGCTATGCGAAATTGCCCATAGTGTTCAGGGATGTGTAGGTTAGGTGAGCTATAGGGGATGGGTCTGGGTGGGATGCTGTGAGTGTCGCTGTGGACTTGTTGGGCCAAAGGGCCTGTTTCCACACTGGAGGGTTTCTATGAACGATGTCACAATCCCAAGATTAACAATGCCGTTACTATTTCCGATGTAACCTTGATGTCCATTGTACCCTGAAGGTGGAAACACAGGTGGATAGAGTGGTCAAGAAGGCATACGGCATGCTTTCATTCATCGGACGGGGTATTGAGTACAAGAGTTGGCAGGTCATGTTACAATTGTATAGGACTATGGTTCGACCACACTTGGAATACTGTGTACAGTTCTGGTCGCCACATTACCAAAAGAATGTGGATGCTTTGGAGACACTGCAGAGGAGGTTCACCAGGATATTGCCTGGTATGGAGGGCGCTAGCTATAAAGAGAGATTGAGTAGATTAAGATTATTTACATTAGAAAGACGGAGGTTTGAGGGGGGGCCTGATTGAGGTCTACAAAATCATGAGAGGTGTAGACAGGGTGGATAGCAAGAAGCTTTTTCCCGGAGTGGGGGCCTCAATTACTAGGGGTCACGATTTCAAGGTGAGAGGGGATACGTTTAAGGGAGATATGCGTGGAAAGTTCTTTACGCAGAGGGTGGTGGGTGCCTGGAACACGTTGCCAGCGGAGGTGGTAGAGGCAGGCACGATAGCGTCATTTAAGATGTATCTAGACAGATACATGAATGGGCAGGGAGCAGAGGGATACAGATCCTTGGAAAATAGGCGACAGGTTTAGATACAGGATCTAGATTTTCTTTGTTCTTTGTTCTTTGTTAACCTGCAGGGAGGAACTCCTTTGCGCCTTCTGAGATGAACTCAGTCTCCAAATCATCATATTCATTTTCATTGAGGTGAGGAAAGCACTTGGTGTGCAGTTCCATCCAAAACCTAAAGCAGCTGAAGAACTGGGGAATGAATTGAAACTCATTGTTTTCAAGCCCTCACTCCATATTTGTCAATGTGTCAGCAGCACAAATGAGAATAACTCTAATATTTGAGATAACAAGGTGTAGAGCTGGATGAACACAGCAGGTCAAGCAGCATCAGAGGAGCAGGAAAGCTGACGTTTCGGGCCTAGACCCTTCTTCAGAAATGCTAGGCCCGAAACGTCAGCTTTCCTGCTCGGCCTGCTATGTTCATCCAGCTCTACA